GTCCGTCACAGGACACCAGGTGCAGGACCAGCAGTCCGTCACAGGACACCAGGTGCAGGACCAGCAGTCCGTCACAGGACACCAGGTACAGGACCAGCAGTCCGTCACAGGATATCGTGGACAGGACAGGAGTCTGTCACAGGACACCAAACAAGACAGCAGTCCATCACAGTATAGACCAACCCTCATTATATGCTCACTGTTCTGTCCACATCTGTCTATGAAAACGTAATGAAGACCTGCCATACCTATGAGCCTCAACAGGATGGCCGTTTTAGATACATGATGTCACTGTGAGAGCTGTGAAGTGCTGATGGCACGTCCCGGAAAACTGCCACACTCATCCCCAGTTTAGTACCCCTTAGAGGTGTCATCTGGAGTGACAGAGCAATATCTGTTGTAAAGAAGCATCGCAGGTTATAGAGTAAACAGCTGAGTTCCCCAGCTATCAGGACGCTGCCCTTCTCCTGCTGTAGGCTGATCTGATAATACCCCTGGTGTGCAGGGACATGTGACAAAAGGCAACCTCAAGACCCAGGACACTGAACATAAGACAGACTGTTGTCCTGTTCCTGGTGTAGGGATGTTGTGATCACATCACGATGTAATCGCGATTATATGGCACATGCAAAATCACCTGGGCTTTACATGACGGGTGAAACATTTGTCTGGACGTTGGCTTTTCGGTGCTTAACGGCTGTTTACTTACACCCATAGTTTGGTAAGCAGAGTAGCAGTGTGCCTAAAATATTAACGATGTGTAGTGTATTGTGACACGCAAAAATTAGTGATTTGTATAAATTCTGTGTATCATTATGTTTAATAAACTTAAAAATGCAAAAAGTACCACCACACCGCCAACATCTGTCCTGTACATTGTCCTGTGATGGACAGGTCTCCCGTCCACGAAGCCCTGTGACTGACTGCTGTCCTGTACCTGGTGTCCTGTGACTGACTGCTGTCCTGTACCTGGTGTCCTGTGACTGACTGCTGTCCTGTCCATGCCATGCCACTGGAGATAATTACTTGAGAGTTCATGACATAATGATGTTTCTGTGGCTCACACACCCTGAAGGTGTTCGGACACATTGGCTGATCTTGACATCATCATCATCGTGAAGTTTCACCTTTGCTTTGCTACCTGTGAGCCTGACCTTCCCTGATCAAAAGTCATCAAAGCTCCAGTATCTACTGTCACAGGTGCCATGGATCACTGTCTCGAAGGGGCGTCAGGCTGGAATACTGCTGTATCTTTGAGTCCATGGAGAATGAGGGTGAGCTGTGGAGTTAGAGCCTGGCTGCCACGCTAAGCTAGTAAGCCCACAGGACACGTCGCAAGTCCGCCGTGTACACATCACATTCCCAGCTAAGGAGAAAAGCCTTCAGTATCACTCTCCAGTCCCGAAAAACATCACATTTTATTTCTTATGATGGTGAAACCCAGCCCGTTTGTTTGCTTTTGGTTAAAGCATTTAGTAAATATTTGGACATTCTGGTCAGTAGGTAGCAAAAATGGAAGAAAACATGACTCACATAGCAGATGGGGTTTAATAGTTTTGCACGACACGGTGCAGGCGTGGGAGAGCAGGGGTGTCTTCAGAACTTACAGCCCAATTTATATCGTGGTTCAAAAGCCAATCCTCTTAACTCCAGCTCACACGCAACATGCAAACACAACCATATGTAACAAAGCCTTAATGCAGCTGTAACTGGATGCAATACAATTAAGCAATTAGTGTCAATTAACATGAATGATAATGAGCTATGGATGGATGAGCAGTGGTGGCCTAATGGTTAGGAAAGTGTGCTTATGAGAGGAAGGTTGCTGGTTTGAATCCGTGACCAGCAAGGCACTGCTCCTTAGGTGCTAGTAATGGCTGGCTGGTATGATGTCACATATGGGTTAAATGCAGAGGATATATTTTGTTGGGGTATGTCAAGAATGACATTTAAAAAATAAAAAAAAAATAAAAAAACAGACTGATCCACATGGGATCATCAACCTGTCCAATTAAGGACAAATGTGTTCATAGCAAGACACGTGTGTCCATGGAAAAATGATTTGATTGAGGAAAAAATTTAAAAAATGTAAAAAAAAAACTCCTGAGATCCACCGCTACACCTGACGTAACCGTGGGAACCATGCCCCCTGACTCCAGTCTGCAAATTCACACGAGAACAGTAAAATGATGTAATAAAAATGGACACTTTCGGCTAGATCCTGCTGAGGCAACGGGAATTCCAAGTGTGAGAAATTTCCCAAGATTAAATCAAAGACTTGGAAGAAATCCATTAACGACTTCATTAATTAGCAGCCCCCGTGTAGGGTCACGGACCCCTGACTCTAAATCAACGGTATACCTACAGAGCATGCGGATGATGCAGCCGCAGCAGAGCTACAGCACTGGCCTTCCCAGCTGAGTCTGGATGTGCCGTTTTGGCTTTAATACAGACCGGAGACGTCAGGTGCGATTCCAGAAATCTCCCCTCGCGAAACTGATGGCTGTTACCCTTGATTGATCGTTAGGCAGCAAAACCAGCAGATACAGGGGTCCAACTGTTTGGTCATTTAAACCCAGAAGACCCCATCTACTCCACGGCTTGGACCGAAATCTGCCTCTTGTGGGATGGGAGGGTCTCACCAAAACCGTGCCTGCATGATTAACAGGCCAAATGGTGCTCCAGTGTTTGAAGACTTCACTGAAATTCCTCACGTGGCTGTGACCTCAAGCTGGGCCAACATGTTCACATTCCAATGTATTCACCAGGCAGTGCATTTGCAGGGCAGCGCATTCGCATTCCAGTGCTTTCATTGGGCAGCACATTTCCATTCCAGTGCATTCATTGTGCAGCACATTTGCATTCCCGTACATTCATTGTGCAGCACATTTGCATTCCAGTGCATTCCACAGGGCAGCTCTGCCCCACTGACTCTCCCCTGAGAGGCCAGATAGGAGTGCCACACTGGGGCGAGGCAGGAGGGGGGAATCGGCGTGAAAAGCAAAGAGCAGAGAGGAGGAGCCATTCCCCCAGAGTGCGTCTAAAATGAACCTTCCTCTGGAACGGTCCGAGCTGTCGCCGAGTCGCCCTTTCATCAGCTCTCGTCCCGCGACCCCCTCCCCTCCAGGTCCCACAGCTGGGACGGGGGTCCAAATGTCAGTGGTCCAGCAAGAGGGGTATTATTGGGAGTGTACCACGCGGCCCAGGCAGGCTGCTCAGGGATGTGCTGCTCCAGTACCGACCTGGCCTGAAACAGCACCGGGTGGGGGATGGACCGCAGGTTCGACACCTGCTTCTGCGACGAGGCCTGTCGGAGGACCAGGGACTGCTGTTTCCGACTATCGCAGCTTGTGTCCAGGCATGGGGGGACTTCCGGGCCAAACACTACCCAGGTTTGGACCACTCCTGTCTGGGTGCAGCACACTCTGTCCTACACTGTCGACTTAGTGCAGTTTAACAGCAAGGTTAAGATTAGACCAGGTTAGTTAAACTTGATTGAATCCAGGGGGAGATTTTTAAATACAACACCAGCATGCAAATACAATATAGAAAAGTAAACATAAAGAAAACTAAATTAAAAAGTACAGAATTATAGAATATTAAGGAATACATAAATATTTTAAATTAAATTTAAGAGATCAGCTGAGGGATGCAGTAAAAGGTCACTAATCACACTGCCTTGTGCTACACTCTGCATTGTAACTGATATTTATACTTCATTTGGGTCAGAGGTAGCTCTTATAAAATACTGGGTGGTTTACATTTGACCTGCAGTTCCCATGGAAGGACAGGGGCTACGGAATGAGTGGCATTTTATCGCTTTATTCCATGGGTCTGCAAGGCCTGTGTCCCAACAGGGGGACAGTTCAGTGAGGAGGACTTGGGTTAGCGTGTTAGCATCAGCCAGGCACCCAGAACCTACAGCATGTAAACGTCTGTCCACACAGCAGTTTATTTTACTGCGATCAGTATTTTACACAACTTGTCATAAGGTATTTCGCAGCTGATAATAAACATTGTATGTAATATTAGTGACTTTGTCCAAATATTTGAATCCAGTATTTGCATTGAATAGCCCAGTATTTAGGAGCAGCTAGATAATGCTTTTGCTCCATATTTTTGTAGATATTTAATGAAACTTTGGTCAAGTCTGATGATAAACGAGTTTATGAGACACCAGAGCTAGTTTTGCTCACAAACTATATCATAAACAAATAATTGTTTCATTCATGAAAAATAATGTTCTTGCAGATATTGGCCATGTCATTGGCCCTGGGCATCCCGAAACAAACAGAAAGGATGGGTGTATGTGTGACATGTGGCCTAAAACATGCTCATAGTGTCACACGAGTAAGCAAGCATGCTCAAGGTGTCACACGTGCAATCAAACACGCTCAGTGTGTCACACACGTAATCAAACACGGTCATGGTGTCAACACATGTGATCAAACACGCTCAGTGTGTCACACACGTAATCAAACACGGTCATGGTGTTACACGTGTGATCAAACAGTCACGGCGTCACCTGTGTGACCAAGCACGCTTACGGTCTCACGCGTGACCACAGTCCAGCTGTGTGTGGTCGACCCCTTGAGCTACTGGAGCGGCTGTTCCCAGCCCTGCCAGGTGACCTTCCGCGAACGCCCGCGGCGTGTCCAGCAGGAGCCCAGCAGGAGCCCAGCAGCGCCAGCAAAGCCTGCCCCCCCCCCCCCCGCTGGTGCCTGGAGTACCTCGACCACCAGGGGCAGAGCTGTGCTCTGGACAGAGGTATCTGCATCCGGAAGGGGATGCGGGGAAGGAAAAGCAGAACACGTACTTTAAATTCCTGAAAGGCTTAAGGCAAATCATCTTAGAGTATAAAAGCCAGTGACTTCTGTATGTTTGAAATACAGGCTGAGCCCGATTCATAGTCTGAGATGCTTGCTTTAATTATATTCCAATGCAGAATCCCAGAGTGTGTGTGTGTGTGTGTGTGTGTGTGTGTGTGTGTGTGTGTGTGTGTGTGTGTGTGTGTGTGTGTGTGC